ACGAAGACCACTAGCTCCTGGGGGACTGAGGCGGGGCCACCACAAGGTAGGTGTTGAAGGGGAAGGTGGTGCAGGGCGGGTGGGGGGGGAAAGAGAGGCCCACAGGCCCCGTCTGCTGCTGAGTCGGGCTCCGTGGTGGAGTACCTGAGAGCCTGGCTGGGGCGGCAGTTCCCAGCACCATTTTTGCCCTGTCTAGAATCCATTTCGCTAGTGGCCCTAAGTGTTCTTCATTTGCAAGTACTTGCTGCCACAGGGACTGGCTACAGAGGCAACCCAGGGGGGCTTGCTTCCCTGGTGGCGCAGTGGTTAAGAATCCATCTGCCAATGCAGGGGACACGGGTTTGAGCCCTGGTCCGGGAAGATCCCACATGCCTCAGAGCAACTAAGCCCACGCACCACAACTACTGAGCCTGCACGCCTAGAGCCCGTGCTCCACAACAAGAGAACCCACTGCAATGAGAAGCCCACGCACCGCAAGGAAGAGTAGCCCCCGCTCACCGCAACTAGATAAAGCCCACGCACAGCAACAAAGACCCAGCGCAGCCAAAAATAATAAATAAATAAATATATTAAAAAAAAAAAAAAGCAGCCCAAACAATTGGCAGCTCTACCAACATTTAAAATCCACAGGCCTATGATGCTATGATCCCACTTCTGGGGCTCCATACTGTAGAAACTGGAGAACGAGGCTGCATTATTTGTTTCCAAACTATAGAAACTGGCAAAATATATACTAGAACAGCAGTGCCATGAGATACTATGTAGCCATTTTAAAAGAATGAGGGAAGTCTCTTGCTAGGAGCTAGACACAAAATAGTATATATAGTAGGACTCCACTTACATGAAGTTCAGGAACAAGCAAAACCAATCCATGGTGAGGGCAACCAGAGTTGGGGTGGGGCCATTGACTGGGCAGGGGCAGGAGGGAACTTTCTGGATTCTGAAAATGTTCTATATCTTGATCTGGGTGATGATTACATGGGTAAATACTTCTATAAAAATGCACGGAGCCATATCCTGAGGACTAGCGTCTTTTACACACTAGATGTATGATACACCTCCATATAAAAAGTAAAGAAAGAGGGCTTCCCTGGTGGTGTAGTGGTTGAGAGTCTGCCTGCCGATGCAGGGGACACGGGTTCGTGCCCCGGTCTGGGAGGATCCCACATGCCGCGGAGCGGCTGGGCCCGTGAGCCATGGCCGCTGAGCCTGCGCGTCCGGAGCCCGTGTCCCGCAGCGGCAGAAGCCACAGCAGTGAGAGGCCGCGTACCACACACAAAAAAAAAGAAAGAAAGAAAAAGTAAAGAAAGAACTGACTTGAGAAAATGGTAAAGAAAACAGAAAAAAAGTTGCAGAACTGTATGTACGATTTCATTTTTATAAATGTATAAGCCTGGGGAAAAGTCTGGAAGCCTATCGAACCCTTAGCAGTGCTTTCCTCTGAGTGGGGGGACTGGAGGTGAACACAACCACTCTATACATTTTTGTATTGTTTGCGTTTGTGGTGTTTGAAGCCTCTGCCCCCCACACTCTCTACGTTCCGGCTGCTCACTTCACGGCAGCTCCGCTCCTGCCCCCTCTGCGAGTGCCCTGCACTTGGAGGCCTGGGTTTTGGACTCCTCGGAGCAAACTTTGGCTTCATGTCTCAGTTTAAGACTTGGGCTTTGCATCAAGATCTTTGGCCATTGCCCAGCTCAGAATCTGCCAGGGTCTCTGCTCATTGGCCCACACGTACCAGCAGCATCCCACTTGGCAACCACCTCCCGGGATGAGCAAGGTCAGGTGCCTCTCCCTGAACAGGCCCCATGGAAGGTGCTGTCCCTGCCTGTGAGTGGAAGCAGAGCGCTCTGAAGAGGAAGCAAGCAGGTAGAGAAAGGTAGGGCACCCCCGACACACACACCCAGTCCCCTCCTCCTGAGTAGTCAGGGCCACTAATTGGTCTTCACAGCCTTGGTTACATATGGTCCTGGAGGTGAATTCTGGTCACACCTCAAGCCAGGAAAATGAACCCTTGCTCTGTCCCCTCTTTAATATGGATGTGACAGCTGCAGGCTACAGCTTGTCACACTGTGAGAATTATTTCTCCATTAAAACGCAGGAGTTGGAGTTTTGCCCAGGAAGGCAGCTAAAAGTACTGCTCTCTGGGGCACCAGTCACCAGGGGACTTAGTGGCTACCTTCTTCACTCTTCAGCCCCCAGGGAAGTCCCACACCTGCCGGGTCCCTCCCTTGAGCGTATGATACAGCATCATGTCTGAGCTATATCCCAGCCCTGTCAGAGAGAAAAAGCACCGGTTACCGTGCCTGTTTTACTGATGGGCAAACTGAGGTTCAGACAGCTTGCTCTGGGTCACTGTGCTCCATCTACAAAATCACGGAGGGAGCAAGAGTGTGCAGCCCAACTGTGGGGAGGGGAAGATAAGCCGTCACGCGTGCCCAGCACTTTACAGTTTGTAGTGTCTTCTTCCTGCTTTGTCCAACCCTCGCAACGATCCTATGAAAAAAGAACTACTACTGTCCCCACCTTATAAGTGGGGTTGATGCCTGGTGAGGTGAGAACACACTCAAGGGCACAGGGGGAGATAAGGGGCAAAGGCAGAGCCTCAGCACAAGGCTTTTGGTTCTAAAACCCACGCAGAGGACCAGGGGTGGGACTTCTAGCAAGGTGACCGGTCTCATTCCCAGGGTCATCGACTTCAGAAGCACCCCAGTTTGTAGAGAATGCCACAAACTTTTCAGAAGAGGACTCGTCACCCCTTCTTAATAGATAAGGAAATGAAGGTTTAGAGGGATGGAGGACTTGGTCACAAGATAGTAGCAGAGCTGGGAAAAAACTGTCAAGTGTCCTGACCCCCTCCTCCAGCTGCCCCAGGGCCCGCAGAACTCAGGGACTGACTGGCTGGCCAGCTCTGAGACCCTGGCACCCGGGGCAAATGAGCACTGTGCACTCTGCAGTCTCCCACGTCCCTGAACCCGGTTCTCTGGAAACTGTTTGCCTGCCACATTCAACCCCTCTTCCCAGTCTTTGGAGCCGGAAGGTGGTGAAAGCCTCAGGCCCATTTTTCATATAAGGAAACTAAGGCCCAGAGAAGCTAAATGCCCAGCTCAGGATCACAGGGTAGAACTAGGTCCTGGACCTGGACCTCTGACTCGGGCCTTGTGCCCATTCCACTGGGTCAGCCAAGAACAGCACACAGAGCTCCTTTCCTGTGTCAGCTTCTTGTTGGGCCTCAGCTTCCCCATCCATGAAATGGGGGCATTAGCCCTTAAACAAGCCTGAGGTCTGAGTCTTCTGAGACAAAGCTATTAGTCTTCTGAGATAAAGCTATTTCGGGGTGGAGCCCCAAAAAGTGACCAAAGGGCCTGGCTTTCTGGACAGCCAACATCACTTTACCAAGGGGGAAACTGAGGCTAGAGAGGGGGTCATGGAGACCCCGTGACTTAAGGACAGTGACAGTAAGGAGATCCAGGTATCCCTACTCTGGCTTCAAACGTCCAGGAGGGAACCCTTCCTGCCAAGTCCTGCTGCCCACCCTACTGCCACACGTTTTGCAGAGAAAAAGCTTTCTACAAAGGCATTTATTTTTCCCAAAATACACCACCAGTTAACAAAGTTCCTCAGAGTCCCATATTTAAATTAGAAATCCCCACATCTTTCATTCCTGGTGAAGGGAGGGATGTCAACAGGAAGACATCAGATCATCAGAAGTTTACTCCACTGGAGGCTGGGGACCGGCCAAAGACAAGCCAGGAAGTGGCTGCCCAGCCCCAGAATAGCACCATGGTAGGAGAGGGGGCTGTCCCTGCCCCCAAGCTCCAGCCAGCGAGGAGAGGCCCCAGGCTTCCCCTGTGCTGCGGCTCTCAGCTTTCCGGGGTCTGTCAGGCCTTGGCTGCCTGCCCCCCTGCTCATGCCTCGAAAGACACTTTGGAAACCATCAGATTCTCCAGTCTTGGTGAGAGGCTTTGTCCCTCTCTCCAGGTTTCTGCCCCCACCCTCTGTTCTGGGTAAGGATTAGGGATGGGATGGGAGTGAGGTATCCAGGGAAATGCGGTACAGAAGGGGAGTACAGTAGCGAGCCAGGCAGGAGCCCCGCACAACCACTCTT